CCGACCGCTGCCTCCACACAAGGCCCCGCGCCCGGAACAGCAGCCGGAGATGAACCTGGAGGAGATGAATGTGAGGGGAATTCAAGGACCAGATCGAACACGCAGCTCGCAGGTGGGGAGACTTCCCGGGAGAAAGTGACGTCGCCTCCGCAGGAAACACCATCGTGAACGCCTGGCCTCACTTCCAGGCACCAGCATCACGCTCGGTTCTGGGATCCCAGCTTATTCTGCTGCGAATGCTTCCTCTTCACCCTGAACTAGGGGGCGGGGGGCAGGGGGGCGGTTCAGGCAGGGCATCAGGCTCTGCCTCTAGGTGCTCATTTCAAGTCCCAGTTTCTGTCCTGTCACATGTGGGTGATGACATCCCTCTGCCTTCGTGCTTCTCTGTCGCTCAGACCGAAAGGCGGCGGGGCCTCCTCGCGCTGTCACTGCAGCCCCAGCCCTGCTCCTCCGGCCGGAGGACCGACCGGCTTCTGTGTGGCCCACGCACCGGTGGGGCCAGGACACACCATCGCAGCCCAGATTCGTGTTTCGTCCGTGTTCACAGGACTCTCCTAAGGCGGCCGCAGTGCCCTGAGGTAGCAGCACCGACAACGGCCTCCACCCGCCGCTCCTGCGCCCGCTGCCGCTGCCAGCGCCCTGAGGGTCGGCTCACGTGTGGCGTCGGGGACAGCCAGGCCGGCGGCACGCAGCTCCTGGTTCACGCAACCCTCTGACCTCGCGGAGGCCACGGAGACCGGGCCCGGTGGCAGGAGGCAGGTAAGGAGATCTGGGAAGAGCGAAGTCTGTGCTGTTTCCACCGCGTGACCCTCCAGACGAGGCGCCAGGGACCCGGGATGTGCCCGGGGAAAGGCCAGGGGCACTGACTGCTGACCTGGATTTGTTCCCAGCAAAGACCAGGCCCCTCACCATTGGTGCCCCCGCGAGGCTGTCCTTTCAAACCGCCACCGAAGGGCGCCACATGGAAACTCAGACCCAGACCGGGGTCCCCTGGGGCCCAGGCACTTCCACGACATTGCTGTCGGACAGGCTGGCTCACCACATGCCGCGACCAGGTGGGCAGAGCCTGCGGGTGGGGAGGCCAGGGGACGGGGAGACCCGCCCCCCAAGGGGACGGATGCCTGGGAAACAAGGGGAAATGTCCGTTTGGAGGAACCCTGTCCGGCAGGAAGATCAGGGACTGAGAACTCCCAGATCTCGGCTCCTACGACCGAGCGGGGCCCAGTGGCTGGGCATCTGTACCCAGCGGCCTGTGGACGAGGAGCACACAGGCTTCCCCGGGGCCCGGGCTGCGGGCCGGTGCGGGGGCTGGGGAGCAGGAAGCAGGCTCATAGGTATGCTGAGCTGGAGGGTATACATTTCTGCAAAACCCTGGCACCTCCCAGTGGGCAAGGGCAGGGGCGGGGGGAGGGGGGCAGAAGGCAGGGGATGCCCTGCTCCCCGCTGGTATCATGAGACAGTCCCCCCACGCTCTGGGCCCCGGTTCCCTTCACTAAAGTGGGTACAGTAACCACCTCAGGGAGTGTGGCAGGATGAGTATCCTCGTCTGAGAACCAGGCTCAGAGTCCCCGGAGCCAAGCCCTGTCTGCCCGTCTGCCCGAAGGGCTGTGCTCACAGGTGTGATGGGGACGCTTTGGCGCCCAGGCGGGGGCAGGCCTGGGCCTCCTGGGAGGGGCTGTGGGCCGGGGGACCTGGGCCGGCGGTGTCTGAGCAGCACTCTGGACAGCAGGACGTGTGTGCAACCCCCCATCCCTTCTTGCTCTCCAGCAGGGGTGCAGAACCTTCTTCGGACCATTTAGATACTTATCACATCATCTGTGGGCCATACAAAAGCATCAACTTAAAAATCAACTTAAAAACCAGCCTGCTCTACTTGGCCAAATGTTTAACTCACCCCAAATGCCTTGGCAGGGCCAGACCAAATGACGTACGGCCCGCGGGCCGGCCGTTCCCCAACCTGCGAGTCTCCAGCGGCACGGCTGGCGCCCCAAGCGCATCCACGCCCAGGAGGCCTCGGAACCGGCAGACTCCCTGCTCTGATCCACGCACAAACCCAGAGCACAGACGCGCTGGCGCCGGTGTGGGTTCAGGCTTCCAGTCCAGAGTCTTTGGAATGAAATGAGAACGTTGCAGGGCCCTGAACACCCGGACGATCGGGTAATGGAACCTGAACGTGCGGGATGCAGAGGGACACCGTGCGGACAAGCACCCGCCCACAGGACACGGGGGGATGGCGCAGAGGCCCCTTCCCTTAGAGAAGCCGTGTCCTCTCATCGCTCCAGCTCAGGTGTCCGCCCCGGACCCCCTACCGCTACCACCTCCGTGGGAGAAACAGCGGCTGGGCCATGGGGCCTTCACGTGCGGCTGGGCGGCCTCAGCAGAAGAGCCGTGAGAGACGGGTAACATTTATTCATACGCAACACCGACTAGGAAACAGCTCTACACACAATGACTCAGAGACAAGTCGGAACAGGGCGCAGCACCCGGGGCAGCGAGCGGGGACGGTCCCCACGGCTCACTTCGTGCTGTTGTGTTGTTGGCGTCTTCACTAGCACCCTCTGCGCACAGCGGAGGAGGACGTAAGTGTTTGGGGAACAGTGAAGATTTGCAAGGCACTTAATCAGTCGTCTGGGTGACGATCCGGCGTTGTCTCAGCTTCCACGGCAACCCACGCCCATCTGCCCTTCCTCACCAGACCAGGCCCGAGGGAGGTCTCTTTTGCCAGCGGTCCTTATGGACAAACAAGTTCTAGAAAGTTCCTCAAAGTGCTTTTTCAGTCTCACGGGGCTTCCACTTCCCTTGGCCTCCCATCATTCTCTCCTACGCGTGTCCGGTGTTGGCACGTCTCCTACAGAAACAGCACTGCTCAACGCCACCGCAGACTTGCCACCAACCTTCATCCTCCTTCCGTGGTCTCAGCGCCGCCTGCATGGGGCCTCGAGCATGGGCCTGGCTGAGGGTCCCAGGAGCCTGGAGCGTGGGCCTGGCTGGGGGTCCTGGGATGCTGGAGTGGGGGCCTGGCTGTGGGCCCCGGGGGCCTGGAGCGTGGGCCTGGCTGTGGGTTCCGGGATGCTGGAGTGTGGGCCTGGCTGCAGGTCCCGGGGGTCGGGGTCAGGGGGCGGCCGTTGGCTTCACCGGCGCCGGGAGGTGATGTCGAAGCAGGTGATCATCATGAGGTGGGCCTTGCAGAAGTTGACGCGGCTCTCCAGGCGCTCCGTCACGCACTCGAGCGCCTCCAGGTACTCCAGGGAATCCAGTTCCCACACCTGCTCCAGGTCAACTGCGAACGAGAGAGGCTGGTGGGAAAGGCGCCCGCACGGCCGGTCGGAGCTGCACCCGTCCTCCTCCCATGGGCCCCGCCCTTGCATGCGGCTGCCCCCAAGCAGGTGAGGACTGGCTCTGCCCCTTGCTGCTTCCCCCACCCCCGTCACCCTCTTCTCTCTCAGCCTCGGGGCCACACTCTGCCCGCTGTGCCTCCCCCACGGGCGAGCGGGTGGCGTGTGCAGGGGTGGCGTGTGCAGGGGGAGGCACCGGGCTGAGGGCTGGGGTGGAGCTGGGAGGCCACGGGAAGGGAGCTGTAAGGGCAGAGATGCGTTTGCCCCACACGCTGTCTTCCCGCATCGGGTCCCCAGTCAGTGCAGCCGTTCGGACCAGATTTGGGCTTTATTTTGTTGGTAAAGGGAACGGTTAGGAACAAATACATAGGAGACCAGGGAATCTGTCTCTCAAAGACAGACTTGCTATAGGTGTCACTCATCCTGGGCTTCCTGCCCAGGGGAAATCTCACTGCGTGTGATTGTTTTTGCTTAGAATGCTCGTCTTGCTGCTGCACGGTCTGCAGGCCTCCCTGGGCCGCGGTTCTACCCTGCGCGGAGCCCGTAAACCCTTGTCAGTTTCAGGACAGACACCCCCTCCCCGCTGCCCTCGCCCCCAGGCCCCCATCGCCTGTGAGGGAGTGACCGTCTCCATGTGATGGGCACCGAGGCCCTGGGATTTGGACAAGACACAGGCTCACCCCGCCCACAGGCCAGGCTCTTCAGCAGCGACCCCGACTACAGTGAGGTTATCAGGGTCGTCCTAGGGGTCAGAGGCCTGGTGCTTGGCCATGGAGTGACAGGAGGCCCAGCGACACTCTAATGAGGATGATAACATCCGCGACCGGGCCTTACACTCGCTGAGCCACTGGTCGGGGTCCAGCATCAGGTGCTGCTTGGTCGCCTCCAGCTCCTGCATCAGCCACTCGTACTTGGCCCGGACCTCGGCGATCCTCTGCTGGCGGCGCTCCAGGGTCCTCAGCTTGACGTTGAAGCCCACGCCCTCCTGGGCAGGTGGGGGGAGAGGCAGAGGCAGGAGGTGGGGAGAAGTGAGTGGGGAGGAGGAAAGGACCGGTCACAGGGAATGTGGGGGGGGCAGAGACACCCCACCCCAGGCAAGGCCACCACAGGCACCTGTTACATTTAAAGCAGCTGCATTGGAGCTGGAGCCAGAAAAGCCCCCAACACCACGGCCTCCCAGCCCTGGAGCCTGGAAGGCGTTTAGACGGGAAACGTGGAGCCTTCCCGGGTCCTGTGCTGGGAAGCCGGCTGGGGAGTCCCCTGGCCGGAGCCCCCCAAGGGCGCTGCCCCATCCCTGCCCCAGGGACCTGCCGGGGGACACCCGCCCCCCCAAGTGGGAG